CCCCCCCCCCCCCAGGTGGCCCCCCCCCCCCCCATTTGGGGGTCCCGGTGTCGCCCCTCCCCCCCCGCGCGGTGGCCCCGGGGGTGGCACCGCCAGGGCCGCGTGCGCCGGGGACAAAAGCGACACTGGGGACAAAGGGCCGTGACGTCAGCGGGGGCTGGGGGGGGATAGGGACAGTGCCACTGCCATGGGGACAGTGCCACCCCTTGGGGACATGGGGACAGCGGTGGGGACACTGCCACCGCCATGGGGACAAGGATGGGGACACTGCCACCGCCTTGGGGACATGGGGACAGGGGTGGGGACACTGCCACCGCCTTGGGGACAGTGCCACCCCTTGGGGACATGGGGACAGTGCCACCACCTTGGGGATAGGGGTGGGGACACTGCCACTGCCATAGGGACATGGGGTGACAGGGAGGGACAGCGCCACCGCCTTGAGGACATGGGGACAGTGCCACCGCCACGGGGACAGGGATGGGGACAGTGCCACCGCCACGGGGACATGGGGACAGTGCCACTACCATGGGGACAGGCATGGGGATACTGCCACCTCCTTGGGGACATGGGGACAGGGGTGGGGACACTGCCACTGCCATGGGGACAGTGCCACCCCCTTGGGGACAGGGATGGGGACAGTGCCACCGCCATGGGGACAGGGATGGGGACAGTGCCACTGCCATGGGGACAGGGATGGGGACAGTGCCACCGCCACGGGGACACAGAGGGGACAGGGAGGGGACACGGGGGTCTGGCAGCCTTTGGGGACACGGGGACAGGGACGGTGACACCCGGCAGAGCCGGGCCCAGGTGTGTCCCCACCCCTTCCCCCGTCCCCTCCCCTCCCCCCCCCGTGCCCCCCCGGCGGGATGGCTCGCTTCGGAGACGAGCTCGGTTCGGCGGCCCGCTACGGGCCCGGCGGCCCCGGGGCGGCGGCGGCGGCGGCGGCGGGGGGCCGGGGAGCCGGGGGGGGCCCTCGGCAGGGTCCCCCCCCCGGGGCTCAGCGGCTCTACAAGCAATCCATGGCCCAGCGCGCCCGCACCATGGCCCTGTACAACCCCATCCCGGTGCGCCAGAACTGCCTCACCGTCAACCGCTCGCTCTTCCTCTTCAGCGAGGACAACGTGGTGAGGAAATACGCCAAAAAGATCACCGAATGGCCATATCCTTCGTTCCTGGGTGGGGGGCGCGACCCCCGAGCCGGGCACCCCGAGGTTCTCCCGGGATGAGGGGGGGTCTGCTTGTGGTACCCCCCGCCAGCCGCCCCCGGGGATGGGGAATGGGGTTTTGGCACGGGGACCCCCGAGCGCGGCGCCCGGCGCTGAGCTGCGGGCGTTGTTGGGGTCACCGTGTCCTGCTTTGGGGAGCCCGGTCCCGTTTTGGGGTCACCGTGTCCTGCTTTGGGAGGTCCGGCTCCGTTTTGGGGTCCTCAGCCCCATTTTGGGGTCTCCTTGTCCTGCACGAGCTCCTCAGCCCCGTTTTGGGGTCCCCATCCCCATTTTGGACTCCCCAGCCCCGTTTTGGGGTCACCGTGTCCTGCTTTGGGAGGTCCGGCTCCGTTTTGGGGTCCTCAGCCCCATTTTGGGGTCTCCTTGTCCTGCACGAGCTCCTCAGCCCCGTTTTGGGGTCCCCATCCCCATTTTGGACTCCCCAGCCCCGTTTTGGGGTCACCGTGTCCTGCTTTGGGGTCCTCAGCCCCGTTTTGGGGTCACCGCCTCCTGCATTGGGGTGCCCAGCCCCGTTTTGGGGTCCCAGCCCCATTTTGGGGTCACCGTGTCCTGCACTGGGGGTCCGGCCCCGTTTTGGGGTCCCCATCCCCATTTTGGACTCCCCAGCCCCGTTTTGGGGTCACCGTGTCCTGCTTTGGACTCCCCAGCCCCGTTTTGGGGTCACCGTGTCCTGCTTTGGGGTCCCCAACCCCATTTTGGGGTCACTCTGTCCTGCACGAGCTCCTCAGCCCCATTTTGGAGTCCCCACCCCCATTTTCGGGTCACTCTGTCCTGCACTGGTGTTCCCAGCCCCATTTTGGGGTCCCCATCCCCATTTTGGAGTCCCCAGCCCCATTTTGGGGTCCCCAGCCTCATTTTGGGGTCTCCATGTCCTGCATGAGCTCCTTAGCCCTGTATTGGGCTCCCCATCCCCATTTTGGGGTCCCCGTACCACAGCTCCATCCCCTGGCCCGTTTTGGGGTTCCCTTGGCTCCTTTGGGGTTCCCCTGACCCGTTTTGGGGTCTCCCAAGCCCTGACCTCTCTGGGGGACCCCCTTTCCCTGCCCCAAACCGGGGTCCCCGTTCCGCTCGTGCGTCACCTCCCCATGCCCGGATCGGGGTCACTGGCCCTGCGTTGGCTCCCCGACCCCCTTTTGGGGTCCCTGACCCCCTTTTTGGGGTCCCCAGATCCACACCGGAGTCCCCAACCCCACATTGGGGCCCTCAACCCATTTTTGGGGTCCACAAACCCATCCTGAGGTCCCCAATCCGCTTTTGGGGTCCCCAATCCCTTTTTAGGGTCCCTGAACCCCTTTTTGGGGTCCCCAACCTCCTTTTGGGGTCCCCATCCCTGCCCCGCATGGGGGACCCCCTTTCGCCCCACCTTCCGGGGAGGGGGAGTGGGGGGAGCCCCGAGATTGGTTTGGGGGCGCTGAGCACCCCGCGGATGGGAGGTTGTGCCGTGCCGAGCCGTGCGGAGCCGTGCTGCAGCGCCGCGCTCCGCTGGCCCCGGTAACGGGGACGGGCCGGGAACCGGGCTGGATGCCGGTACCGGGAGCTGTGCTGGGCCGGATCCCGGTACCGAGAGCCGTGCTGAGCCGTGCTGGGCTGGATGCCGGTACCGGGAGCCGTGCCGAGCCGTGCTGAGCTGTGCTGCAGCGCCGCGCTCCGCTGGCCCCGGTAACCGGGACGGGCTGTGCCAGGAATCGGGCCGGATCCTGGTACCGGGAGCTGTGCCATGCCAGGGAACCGTGCCGGGCCGGATCCCGGTACCGGGAGCCGTGCTGGGTACCCAGGCTGTGCCAGGGAACTGTGCCAGGCCAGATCCCGGTACCGGGAGCCATCCAGGACCCATTCCGGGCCGGATCCCGGTACCGGGAGCTGTCCTGGGTACCCAGGCTGTGCCAGGGAGCCGTGCTGGGCCGGATCCCGGTACTGGGGGCTGTCCTCGATCCCTGAGCTGTGCCAGGTACCCGTGCCATGCCAGGGAGCCGTGCTGGGCCGGATCCTGGTACCGGGTACCTGTGCTGTGCCAGGGAGCTGCATCGGGCCGGATCCCGGTACCGGGAGCCATCCTGGAGCCGTGCTGGGCCAGATCCCGGTACCCGTGCCGTGCCAGGGTGTTGCAGAGCCGTGCTGGGCCAGATCCTGGTACCAGGGTACCTGTGCCATGCCAGGCCAGCAGCTCCCCGTGCCCGGTGCCCAGTGCCAGCTGCCAGCGCTGTGGCCGCTCCCCCGGTGCCAGGCTGCAGTGCCCGGTGCCAGCGGGGCCGTGTGGAGGCCGGAGACCCCCGTGGGACCACCCGTGCCGTGCCAGGCTGGGTGCCCGCAGCCCCCCCAGCGGCTCCAGCCTCACTCTGTGCCCACCAGTGGGGTGGGACAGGGGACAGGGGACACGGGACAGGGCAGGGACACGGCCCCGCGCCCCCGCGGGTGGCAGTGCCCGCTGCCAGCCGTGCCAGCGGTGCCAGCGGTGCCAGCGGGGCCGTGTCGCTCCCGGCCGGTCCCGCTGTGCCCGGGGCGCTTTGATCTCGCCGCGAAGCCGAGGCCGCGGCTGCCGCTTTGATGAGGGAATTCATTCATTAATTAATTAATTACCGAGCCGCCCGACACGCGGGCGCCGACCCCGGGGGCGCGGCCCCGCTTTGCGCTGCGCTCCTGCCTCAGTTCCACCCCCCCCACCCCGCGGTTTGGGGGTCCCCCAGCCCCGTTTTTTTTTCCTTGACTCGCCCCCCACTCCTTTTGAATACATGATTTTAGCCACCATCATCGCCAACTGCATCGTCCTGGCGCTGGAGCAGCACCTGCCCGACGAGGACAAGACCCCCATGTCGGAGCGGCTGGTGGGCTGCGCCCGGGGTGGGGGGCGAGGGGAGGGGGAGTGGGGGGAGCCCCGAGATTGGTTTGGGGGCGCTGAGCACCCCGCGGATGGGAGGTTGTGCCGTGCCGAGCCGTGCGGAGCCGTGCTGCAGCGCCGCGCTCCGCTGGCCCCGGTAACGGGGACGGGCCGGGAACCGGGCTGGATGCCGGTACCGGGAGCTGTGCTGGGCCGGATCCCGGTACCGAGAGCCGTGCTGAGCCGTGCTGGGCTGGATGCCGGTACCGGGAGCCGTGCCGAGCCGTGCTGAGCTGTGCTGCAGCGCCGCGCTCCGCTGGCCCCGGTAACCGGGACGGGCTGTGCCAGGAACCGGGCTGGAATCCGGTACTGGGGGTGCTGGGCCGGAAACCGGCACCGGATGGCCGGGATGTGCCAGGAGCCGGGCCGGATCCCGGTACCGGGAGCTGTGCCATGCCAGGGAACCGTGCCGGGCCGGATCCCGGTACCAGGAGCCGTGCTGGGTACCCAGGCTGTGCCAGGGAACTGTGCCAGGCCAGATCCCGGTACCGGGAGCCATCCAGGACCCATTCCGGGCCGGATCCCGGTACCGGGAGCTGTCCTGGGTACCCAGGCTGTGCCAGGGAGCCGTGCTGGGCCGGATCCCGGTACTGGGGGCTGTCCTCGATCCCTGAGCTGTGCCAGGTACCCGTGCCATGCCAGGGAGCCGTGCTGGGCCGGATCCTGGTACCGGGTACCTGTGCTGTGCCAGGGAGCTGCATCGGGCCGGATCCCGGTACCGGGAGCCATCCTGGAGCCGTGCTGGGCCAGATCCCGGTACCCGTGCCGTGCCAGGGTGTTGCAGAGCCGTGCTGGGCCAGATCCTGGTACCAGGGTACCTGTGCCATGCCAGGCCAGCAGCTCCCCGTGCCCGGTGCCCAGTGCCAGCTGCCAGCGCTGTGGCAGCTCCCCCGGTGCCAGGCTGCAGTGCCCGGTGCCAGCGGGGCCGTGTGGAGGCCGGAGACCCCCGTGGGACCACCCGTGCCGTGCCAGGCTGGGTGCCCGCAGCCCCCCCAGCGGCTCCAGCCTCACTCTGTGCCCACCAGTGGGGTGGGACAGGGGACAGGGGACACGGGACAGGGCAGGGACACGGCCCCGCGCCCCCGCGGGTGGCAGTGCCCGCTGCCAGCCGTGCCAGCGGTGCCAGCGGTGCCAGCGGGGCCGTGTCGCTCCCGGCCGGTCCCGCTGTGCCCGGGGCGCTTTGATCTCGCCGCGAAGCCGAGGCCGCGGCTGCCGCTTTGATGAGGGAATTCATTCATTAATTAATTAATTACCGAGCCGCCCGACACGCGGGCGCCGACCCCGGGGGCGCGGCCCCGCTTTGCGCTGCGCTCCTGCCTCAGTTCCACCCCCCCCACCCCGCGGTTTGGGGGTCCCCCAGCCCCGTTTTTTTTTCCTTGACTCGCCCCCCACTCCTTTTGAATACATGATTTTAGCCACCATCATCGCCAACTGCATCGTCCTGGCGCTGGAGCAGCACCTGCCCGACGAGGACAAGACCCCCATGTCGGAGCGGCTGGTGGGCTGCGGGGGTCCTGGGGAGGGTCCCTGATACCCCCGGGGAGGGTCCTTGCCACCCCTTGGGGTCCCTGTCACCCTTGGGGGGTCCTGCAGGGCTCCCGGGGCACCCTGGGGGTCCTGGGGAGGGTCCCTGCTGCTCCTGGGGGTCACTGCCATCCCTGGGGAGGGTCTCTGCCTTCCTTTGAGGGTCCTGGGGAAGGTCCCTGATACCTCTGGGGAGGGTCCCTGCCATACCTGGGGTGTCCTGGTGGGGGTCCCTGGCACCCCCAGGGGTCCTGGGGAGGGTCCTTGCCACCTCTGGGGGTCCTGGGGAGGGTCCCTGCCCCCCTTGGGGGGTCCTGCGGGGCTCCCTGGGGGTGCTGGGGAGGGTCCCTGCCACCCCTGAGGGTCCTGGGGGGAGGGGTCCCTGCCCCCCCCGGGGGCTCCCTGGGCACCCAGCAGAGTTGCCCGGGCACCCCACGAGCTTTGCTGGGGGTCCCTGGGAGGATCCCCAGCCACTCTGGGGGTCCCCACGCCCCCGAGGGGTCCCGGCCGTGTCCGTGGCCCCCTGGCACGGGGAGGGGGGAGGTGCCAGCCCGCCCCCGGCCCGCGCTGGCCACGATTCCCAGTTCCCCCCGGACCCTCCGCGGTGTCCCAGTTTCCTCCTTACTGGGAATCTGGGCCACTCCGCCTCCGCCCGGGGCCACCTGGCCACGGGCTGGTGGCCGTGTGACAGAGACACGGGGGGTCCTGGTGGCCGTGTGACAAAGATTTGGGGCTTGTGATGGCCAAGAGTCTGGTGGCTTTGTGATGGGGACAAGGGGCTTGTGGTGGCCATGGGCTGGTGGCTTTGTGACAGAGATTTGGGGCTCGTGGTGGCCACGGGCTGGTGGCCCCATGACAAGGACACGGGGGCTTGTGACAGCTGTGACGAGGTGGCCACGGGCTCATGGTGGCCCACAGTGGCTCTTGGACTCGGTGTCTTGGTGGTCTCTGTCCACTCTGAGATGTTTTGGTGTCCCTGGCCACCCCTGGTAGCCACAGTGCCCTGTTTGGTGGCCACTCTGGGATGTTTTGGTGTCCCTGTCCCCTTGGTGGCCGCGGTGGCCCAGCTGGGCGTCCCTGTCCACTCTGAGATGTTTTGGTGTCCCCGGCCCCTCTCAGTAGCCATGGTGGCCCAGCTGGTGGCCACACTGGGATGTGTCAGTGGATGTGACCACCCTCAGTAGCCACAAGCCTCCCGTGGTAGCCACAGTGCCCTGTGTGGTGGTCCCTGGTGACACTGGGATGTTTTGGTGTCCCTGTCCCCTCTCAGTGGCCATGGTGGCCCAGCTGGGGGTCCCTGTCCACTCTGGGATGTCTTGATGTCCCTGGCCACTCTTGGTAGCCACAGTGCCCTGTTTGGTGGCCATTCTGGGATGTTTTGGTGCCCCCGGCCCCTCGGTGGCCATGGTGGCCCATTTGGTGGTCCCTGGCCACTCTGGGATGTTTTGGTGTCCCTGTCCCCTCTCAGTGGCCATGGTGGCCCAGCTGGGCGTCCCTGTCCACTCTGGGATGTCTTGATGTCCCTGGCCACTCTTGGTAGCCACAGTGCCCTGTTTGGTGGCCACTCTGGGATGTTTTGGTGTCCCCAGCCCCTTGGTGGCCCAGCCGGGGTCCCTGTGGCCACTCTGGGATGTTTTGGTGTC